GGGGGGGGGCGTTTGGGGGGGGGGGGGGGGGGACTAGAGGGCTCCCTGGAGTTGCAGTCTGGGAAGCCCTTTCCCTGCCAATCTTTGATTGTTTCCGGCTTTTGGTTGGCCTGCTGTGGGGCTGACTGGAGCTAAATGGGGTCATTCAGTTTTGCAAAGGACGATTTGTGTAGGCACCTCCGATCTCTCCATAAGCCGCCACCCCCCATGCTGGTTCCCCCTGGCTCCTCATGTCTCCTTGAGCTCCGAACTCAAACGCTGCTGTGGGGCTGACTGGAGCTAAATGGGGTCATTCAGTTTTGCAAAGGACGATTTGTGTAGGCACCTCCGATCTCTCCATAAGCCGCCACCCCCCATGCTGGTTCCCCCTGGCTCCTCATGTCTCCTTGAGCTCCGAACTCAAACGCCTTAGCTAGTCGGGTTTGGGGCCCGAACCGAGGCCTTGGAGGAGGTTCTCTCCACGTAGAGGAGGTAGCACTGGTTGTGCGGCCCGCCAAGTCGATTATCAGCGCCCGCTCTGCCTTGTGCGCGTGGTTGCGCTGTTCACGTCCCAGATGTGATGCTCTTGACAGTGGTGCACGGGAGATCCTGGGACGCTCTGGCCAATCTAGACAGTTTGATGAAAAAAAAACAAATTGGTTTCTTGCAGCCAACAAAAGAAGAAAGACAAACCTGAGCTGGGAAAGTCCACATTCAAAAACTTAGTTGAGAGGCAAAAAAATCCACCTGGGGAAAATCAGACTGAAACCTGGGTTAACGAGACCAAAACTACAGCCACTGCCGGGAAATCGCACCAGCAAAACTTAGATGAGGTTTGTGATTGTTTGGGGGATGGCAGGAGCTGGAGATCCCGACCCCGACCCCAACCCAAGCCCTGTCAGGCCAGGTGCCGTCCAGACCCCAACCGAGATCAGAGCCCCCCCCTCCGTCATGCCAGGCGCTGCCCAGACCCCTAAATTATCTGAGCACATCTCCGTGTGCAGCCCTGCCCTGCCTCCTGGCGAGAACGAGGGGCCCTTTGAAGCCACGGAAAGGGGATACAGCGGGAGACGTGGGACAGCCACTGTGGGACTCACTGCTGCTGGCTGTCATTGACCCCAAGAACCCGGCCACTCCCCATAAACTCCCAGGGCAGCGCAGTGGCCAGATGGGCTAATCCAGGCCTAACTGGGGGGAAGTTTCCAGCCATGCCGTGTGTGAGACTGGGTGGGCTAACAGACCCTTCTTTAGTTAGGGGCCCTGGGCTGATGGATTGAATGGGATTCGTACCAGGTCGGGGGGGCTGAAGATCCGGGGTTGTAATCCAGGTTGACGTGTCCTGGGCGTGGGAGAGCCTCTCCCCTCAGGGATTACACTCAAATCTAATGATTACTAGGGGGCAGATAACCCCCCAAGAGTCATTCTCCCTTTCCTGTGGAGCTGGCCAGGGCTGCACCCAGGGATATAGGCTAGATGAGCCCTGCTGATCCTGCATGTGCACCTCTCCGGGTCCCGTTGTGCTACCCCAGAGTTTCACCCAGCCGACCTCCTGGTTAGGCCCGAGCGGGTCTGGGGGCTCTTCTCTGCCCCCCTTGGCTGCGGTCCCCTCAGAACTTGGCACAGGGCTCCAGGATCAGTCCTGCCGACGCTGTGGGGCGGGAAAGAGCCGGGCTGGTCCCCTCCAGCAGGGACACACTCATGCCTGGGCTCGGTCCTGCTCTGGCCATGCCCCCCTGCCACCTCCTTTCCATACCAGAGTCCCCGGGCGCTCCTCTGCCGTGGGCTTCTGGGGCCCCCCATTCCCGGGCCTCAGTCTCCCCCAGCACCGTTCTTTCCTCTCCTTTCTGCCAGGCAGGTGGTGCCCACCTCTGCTGGTCCCCTCCAGCAGGGACACACTCATGCCTGGGCTCGGTCCTGCTCTGGCCATGCCCCCCTGCCACCTCCTTTCCATACCAGAGTCCCCGGGCGCTCCTCTGCCGTGGGCTTCTGGGGCCCCCCATTCCCGGGCCTCAGTCTCCCCCAGCACCGTTCTTTCCTCTCCTTTCTGCCAGGCAGGTGGTGCCCACCTCTTGTTGTCTGAGGGGCAGGGCCGTGCTGGGGGGCTGCCCCGCCGGAGGGCCCCAAAT